GTATTATAAATGTCGGCGACATCGCCTGTGATGTCACTTCCTGTCCCTCCCTGCATGCCGTGACCTGGTGCGACGCGCTACATTAGCTCGGCGCTAATGAGACACGAACCCTAGTCCTGCGGCTCGGTCATCATCCTTTTATCAGCCGGCCCCCCAGCCACATTAATCAGCTGTCCGAGCCGAGGCGGGGCCCATAATGCCCTATATAGCACCAGCGCTGAGGGAGCGGCACAGGCCACTGCGAGGGCCAAGGCTCCCACTCCCACTGGCCTCCAGCACCGACCAGGAGCGCAAACGCCGACGCAAGGAGGTGAAAAATAGTCTGAGCACAGGGAGAGTTAGACTGGGAGACGCAAGGAAAGTCTGTCATGCTTTTATTAAAGCTGGGGCGTGTAACTTCAAACCACACAAAATGGAATGTGTTTATAAAATCTAGCTAAGTTCCACTCCCTTAAAACAGTGTGGTTCTGTTTTCTCATGTATTTCTGACCTCTGTCCCATCTCTAGATCAGTTTTTCCAGACAAATAAAGTGAAAAAATGAGAGCCACCCTTACTCAGACCAATCAGCTCTGCAGCACAGGGTGGGAATATGTCCATCAAGACAGCAAGTTGTGGTCTGACAGAATTTGAATTCTGGGACAAACAAAATGTATTACAAATGTGTATTCTAGTGTCTGTTTGACTCCACAACATGTAAAATGGGTAAAAATGATCCTGTCCATACTGTAGGTAAAACAGGTGACCATGGGATCTATTGTTTTCAAAGAGAATTCTCACAACTCACTCACTTTTCTATACTGTAAATGATTCCAATTTTAAACTAATTTGAGATCTCATGGCATTATGTATGACGCAGCTCTTTCTATTGATAAAACAACATTCTGCCTGAAGCCTTGTGTTTTAGTCTGACATAGTAAACTAAAATATGAAAAAATAAACTTTCAGGTTCCCTCAGGGGCGTGTTTTCAGTTTGAAATCTTTTAAACAATACTTCTTTATTCTTGTTAAATGCCTTAACTGTCTGAAATATTATACTGGCACATACAATAAAAACAGAACACAGTTAAAAAGTACATTTCTCTTACAATGTGGAAACTAACCTAAGACATTTTACTGCTCAAGACACACTATTTGACATATATTGAGGTCCTTTATTAGGGTTATAAATGTTGATAATTGATTCACAGCTGTAAAAAACCGTTAGTTTTAAAAAGACGAACAAAAGCTTGGACATAAATGAAGAGTGGTAAAAATCGTTTGTAAAATGTGTCAAAGTTGGATTCCTTTTGCTACAAAGCTTTAATTTTTTAGTTTTCTGCTCAAGAAGGGGTGTTAAACCGTTTTTAGGTTGGCACTAAAATATCCGGCTTTTCACATTTATAAGACGTTTTTTTAATGACACTGAAGTAAATTCTATATTAAAAGTGTGAAGCCCCTATAAAGTCGATGCGTATGAATGTCATCATAATTACACGCTCTGTCCTGCGTCCTGATCAGCGCCTCCGCCAACATGCACCGGCGGCGGGCGTTAGCTGCAGCCAAACATCCATCAGATTAACCGGTGATGGATGAGCTAACAGGACCTAATCATTAGCTCTTTTAGCGTCGGCGTGGTGCGCACCGGCAGAGTCCCAGGCAGGAGAGGGAGGGGACCATTTGTATTCATTATGGCCGAGGAGATTGTCCCAGGTCTGTCTTTGTGGTCGGTGTCTGCTCAGCGACTATTGCGGTACACAGGAAGAATCAATTGTGAGGCTAAATATTGGTTCAAGGGTGGATGTGTGTGTGTGTGTGTGTGGAAAAGTTAGCTTAGCATAGCCACGTGGATGACTCGATCAGGTTTTAGGGTCTTTTCATATCATCTGAGAGAAGATTAAGAGATCCGAAGTAAACATGGGGAGGCAGCATTTCAGATTCATGCAGCTTAAATCTGGAACAATCTTCCTGAAAATGTGAGACAGGCCTCTTCTCTGACAATGTTCAAATCCAGGTTAAAAAAGGGCTTTAACTGTGCATACAACTGAGGGATTTTATCTTTATCTTCACTCCTTTAAATGTACGTTGATTTTTTATGATTGAATGTCTCGTGTGGTTGTTTCTTGTTGCCTTGTTTTGTTCAACACTTTGAGTAAGAATTGTAGGGAAATTTCAGTGTTGCAACGTAGGAATAAGGAGGATGTAACATTTGAAGTGGCCATACTTGTATGTGCTTGCCAGATCCTGTCAGAATTCTAAAGGTAAGCAGGGCAGGGCCTGGTTAGTATTGTGATGGTAGACCTCTGGGAGCCCCAGGCACCAGTGGGGTGGCTGTGAAGTGCCAAACTGTTGTTGTATCCTTTGGCAAGACACAGCACCCACATTGCCTAGAATGTGTCTGGCATGTGTGTGAATGGTTGGTAGTGGTTGGAGGGGCCGATTACACATACTGGTTGCCTTGCTTCTGTCAGTGTGCCCCAGGGCAGCTGTGGCTACATTGGAATTTGAAGCGTTTGAGTGTTCAAAGAAGTGCAATATATAATCAATGAATTATTATTTGCCCTGCCCTTGTGTGATGTGGACTTTCAAGCGCTTTGTGTTTCCCTGTATAGCAAAAGCACTCCACAAATAAATATTGATTGATTGAACTTTGTAAAGTCCTCCGAGACAACTGCTCTTGGGATTCAGGGCTGTACAAAAATAACTAGAATTAATATAAAATCTAATAAGTCTCGGTTCAATAGTGCCTTCTTTCTGACCTGGTTTTTTTCTAATACTATTTTGAGCTTAGAATCTCACCTCTTGGCGAAGGTTTGTGCTCTACGACTGCCTTTCCAGTATATTTTTAGACATTGCACATACTTCACCCTCTGTCTTCTGATCTAGAAGGTAAGTGCATGGAACCAACCACACATAAAACACCCCAGTGATTAATTAGAAGACAGTGTCATACAGAGATATTAATATGATGCTAACGAGAACTGTCGCACATTTGTCTCACGTCCGCACGTCAGGAAACGTATCCACAACAAAACTCCTCACGGTCCTGAGAAAAGAGCGCACGTGTGATAGATGAGAGTCTGAAGGTGAGATGTTATCAGAGAAACATGAAGAGTGTCTGTTTCTCTGATTTATGACCCGCTGCAGACTCCTGACTCATGGACAGGAGATCAGCAGATAGCCCCAAGACCGGACCGGGACTGAGGCAAGTCGCAACACACTGGAGGAGTCTGCGTGTTCGCCGGTTTGTACGGATGGATTTGTCAGACTTGTAAAAAAAAAGTGGCTCAAAAAAAAAAGACCCAAAGTTACTAGGCAGTTTTACAGGTTCAAGGTATCTTTTTTTATCCCAGAGGGGCAATTAAATACACGACAAGATTAGAATGATATGTTTAAAATACCAATGGCAACAGGGATAAAAGGGTTCTTGAATCAGAATCTGAGCCCTGTGGAAGTCCTGGAGGAGAACAACTGTGGCTTAAGTAGAGTGATGGCATATGAAGCGTCTTTGAGTGTCCAAAAAATTGCTATATAAAATCAATTCATTATTATTATTTGCCCCGCCCAGATGCGTTGCCCTGATCCGGTACATGTGATAATTATGATAATAATAAAAATGCATTAAAGTGCCTTTTTTGGACACTCAAAGACACTTCACATGTCATGACATTTTTATGCTCCATACACTGTGGCAATAAACTTCTACACAAATCACGGCTCAAAACAAAGTTCCTATCACAGCAATGAGAAAGTGGGTTGTCATCTTTGCAGTCTGGCTCCATCTATCCATCCATTTTCTACCCCTTAATCCATCCCCTGTGTGTATTTAATCCCTGTGCTCCTGTTCTCTTGTTGTCGGCCCATTGTTTTTTACTTTTGGATTTATTACATCTTATTACTTTTGCAGTTCTGCTTTTGGGTCCTTGTTTATCCGTGACAGTCGAGTGTTGACCTGCCGACCCTCTCATACACACACGCACTTCCTGTGTTTCCCTGTAACCTCCTCCTGAGCTGACAGTGGATCAGATGTGTGTAGATGGATGGGGATGGGACGAGGCAGCAGACAGCCGCGGCGTCTGCCCTGGGACACTCTAATATCCCCTCCAGGATCTGATAAGACTCAGGTGAACACCACTTATCTTCACAGGGAGGCGACACCGCGCTCTGACAACAGCCGCAGTGAAATGAAGAATGGACAGGCTGTAATGTATGCGGGGCCTGGACGGTGTGTTCTGGGGGAAACATGGATCGTACAGTAATGCGATATGTTTTGGGGTTATTATGAAAGAGCTGTCAAAGCCGCTGACAAACTGAGAAAGCGTTTAAGGACATGGATTGTGCAAAATTAACTTTAAGCCACAACTTTTTTCTCTCAGGAAAAGCAGACCAGGAGTTGTTTTTAGCCACATCCACAGAAAAGAATTTAAACACAATTTGTTCTGAGTATTTCTGTAGTCAAAATGCAAGAGGGTCTGAGGACAGTGAAGATCCAGGACGTTTAATAATAATAGTAATAGTAATAAAAATGCATTATACTGCTTTTTTGGACGCTCCATACACTGTGGTGATAATAATAATAATACATCGGTTTTGTACAGCGCATTACAAAAAACTCAGACGTTTCACAATTCAAGACACACACACACATTCAAACAGACACACAAAACTAAAAGCAGGAAAGAAGAGAACAATGCTGAAACCAAGAGTCGTATGCTCGGAGGAAGAGGTGAGTTTTAACTGTTTTTTGAAGGAGTTTAGTGAGTCCGAGTTTTTGAGATGAGGGGTTGAGAGAGTTCCAGAGAATGGGAGCAGAGATGGCGAAAGCTCGGTCCCGCAAGGTTTGATAAACTACTACACAAATCATGGCTCCAAACAAAGTTCCAATAACGGGAATGAGAAAGTGGGTTGTCATCTTTGCAGTCTGGCTCATGACAGTAATTCTGAAAATGACAAAGAGGAACCCCTATTCTGAATTTCCATTAGTTCAAAACGCGGCTATTGGCCTAACACTAAGTTACACATGCCAGTCAATAATGCTGCGGTGAATTTCTTTTCCAACCTATCTAAATCTATTGAGCCACTGTGGATTTTTGTGAAGTTTGCAGTCTCCTCCGGTGCTCCGGTTACCTCCTCCACCAAATAACAAGCATCATAGTTGAAAACCTCCAGAAAAGTTCCTGACCAAGAGCATCAACATCTGGACATGGGTCTCCAGGCGCTCCAGTGTCATGTTGCCATTGCCTGGTGGTATTGAAGGATGGGTGAAAATGTAGAGGACATTTGACCCAATCAAGGCATACAGTACACGTAAGATAAGCTAGTCCTATATCCGTCCGTCTGTGGGGGGATGTCATCCTTGCGCACATTACAGCAGAATAAAAGGATAAAATAATAGCTCAGGTTGCACACATCAAACAGGGAGTATTATTTAAGATAATAGATAATACAATAAAAGTAATAAAAATAGAATAAGATCAAATAAAACTTTGACGATAGTGCTCGAGTTCGGCTTTAAATAATGCTTTTTTGGACACTCAATGACGCTTCACATGTCATTATTCTTTCACTCCATACACGGTGGTGATAAACTACTACTGTAGCCACATTGACAGAAGCGAGGCAACCAGTATGTGCCCCTTTGACCACCACCAACCATTCACACACACACACACACACACTAAACATATTTTAGGCAACGAGGGTGAAGTGTCTTGCCAAGGATACAGAACAACAGACATCAGTGGGAGTCGATGAAGAAAGTCTTGCGGTTGGATCGAGCCTACAACCATCAGGCTCAAAGGCCAATGCTCTTCCAACTGAGCCACTGTCGCCCCAAATAATGTACTTTAGCAGCAGAGAATATGAGCAGAATAAGCAATAGTAATGATAGCAGCAGGTAAAGGGACTAGTGAATTATCAGATGAATAGATATGTAATAATGTAGTAATTATGTACAGTCATGTATAACTTATACTGCGTGCTTACACGGGGTGTTTTTGGCTTGCATTGTTTTTTTTGTTTTTGTTTTTTTTTATCTAGGAAAGTCTTATTAAGATTAAGAACCTCTTTTTCAAGGGAGTCCTGGACAAAAGTTACATAAAGTTACATACAAATTTACAATTCTCTGCTGCTGATGTCCATAACACAAACACACAGACATAATTTCAAAGTCTAAAACACGGAAGCTTCAAGATATTATTTAAGATCCAAAAAGAACACAAAGAACGCTTCATAGTTGTTATTTTCTCAACTATAGATATTGTTCAGACTCATCCTTCACGCGTTATCACATGCATCAGTGTAGGTCAGCGAGGCGGGCGCAGGCTTTTCCTCCCAGCTCCTAATGAACACTTTACACTCCTCCTCAGCTCCAAAGGTCAGCACTTATGCCCTCCATCACAGCCTGACACCTGCAGGAAGAGCTCCCAGCGCTCCGTAATGAGAGGAGCTATGCGCACTGCCACACCGACCGTGATGCGCCCAGAATTACAGCCTCACGGCCACGCGCCCACATTTGCATTTGGAAATTTGTGGGAGAAGTCATTGGCGGCCATCGTTTTCAGTGTGGAGGAGTGTGGAGTAAAGAGCAGGAATAAAACACAATTAGGTCGACGAGGAGCAGGAAGTAGGTATCGTTCTGGTGTGTATATGGGTTAGCAGTAAAGGCCCTTAAAGCAAAACGATTGAGCATACTGTGCAGGATGGACTTCTATAAGAGCGTTCACGACTGTTATTAATTGGTTTTCCCATCTCCTTTTTCACACAATTTTTTTATTTTATGTACTTGTTTTATAGGGATAATGCACATAACCCCTGTGCTATCCTTGGGTCAATGTTGGGGTGAATTAGTATGATTTTTCCTTTTTGGCCCTAATTTAGGGTATTTTTCTTCTACTTTTAATCACTGTAAGGGTTAATATGCCAGCTTTTACCTACAAAACAAATTTTCATCCACATTAAGGTAGGCAGACAATAGTCACTTTTTATTTATTTATTTTATTATTTATTTATTTATTTAATTATTTATTTAATTTTATGTATCATTTATTTTGAATGGGTCAGTGTGTATTAATGAACAGTAGGGGCTAATATAAATGAGTTTCCCCGTAGTCGCACATAAACTCCTTCAGCCTGAACTACTGGAGCACCAGGAGAAAAACTATGCAAACACAGGGAGAACATGCAAACTCCACAGAGAACGGCCGCGCAACTTTGTAAATTTATATTTTTGGTATTCTCAAAGATTAAATGATTGGACTTTGAAAGAGAAAATGACAAACATGGAATGATAAGGTCAAAGATTCAATTATTCTGCATTTGACCCATCCTGATGTCACTAGGGCGTAGATTTACCTATCATACTGGTTTTTAGTGGTAGGTGAAACAGGAGCACCCGGAGGAAACCTACGCAGGCACGGGGAGAACATGCAAACTCCGCTCGGAAAGACCCCGTTCCGACTGGGAGAGAGAGTGCTAACCATTCAGCCATCGTGCCTCCCACATTTTTGTTGAAATCGTTCAACAGATACATCATGAGCATGTACTTAATATATTTCTACGTCCATCCATTTCATAAGTCCGCTGTAGCCACTGTTTCACAAAAAGCTGTAGCGATATTAGCACAGGCGGAGTAATAATCTCAAAGGTTCCCAGGAGCGCAGCATTCAACACAGCTCTAGTTTATGATAATTTCTCGAGACTATTTAATTGCCAATATATTGTGTACAGCCCTGACCGGCACCGCATCAAAATGAATGTGAATATTAAGACAAAACACATTTAGCCTGAGGAGCGCGGCTCAAAGACAACGCTGTGATGACTCTGGATCCAACTAATGAGTAATTATCCATTCCAGAGGAGAGGGAGAGAGAGAAGGGAGTGAGGGAGAGAGGAAGCAGAGCGGCGAGACTGAGCGGACAGCAGACGGTGGGTGTCTCGCTCCTCCCCGGGGATGGGCAAACCTCCTCCCCGGGGATGGGCAGAGGTGGGTACAGAGCTGACTCCCATTTTCTCAGCTTCTCTTGGAAACTCCCAGGTATCAAAACCTTTTCCTGGGGAGGTACAGCGGGTCTTTCCTTCCTGCTGCTGTCAGACTGTACAACAAACCAGGACGAACACACACTGTAGACCTGACCTCATATATCTCACAGACCAGACTCATTCTAGGCAATGTGGGTGAAGTGTCTTGCCTTTGGACACAACAGTAGCAGACATCAGTGGGATCCGGTGGAGAAAGTCTGGTGGTGGGCGCGAATCAACGACCTTCAGGCTCAAAGACCAATGCTTTACCAACTGAGCCACTGTTTTTAATCTTCCTGTAGCCTGATCCTGATATTTTGCCTTTTAAGATCTGCGTAGCCCTGACATGAAGCGATACCAGTGAAGGGAGAATGTCAACAATAATAAAAAAGTGAAACTCTGAAAAATTAGAATATCGTTCCATTAATTCGGTGAAACCAATATTTGATACAGACTTGGTCCATCTGTCAAGCCTTTTTTTGTTATCATTTTGATGAATATGGCTTACAGTTTGTGTTTGTGTGTGTTTTTGTCCAGGTTTTAACTGTAGCTAGAATCAGCAATCACCCTGTACATTTTCAAAGTATTTTAAATTTCAAAAAAATTACATAGGGACAATACTTTGAATAATGATCGCCTGACAAGCCGCGGGGCCGTGTGAAGGTCTTAGAGGGTCAAATATGAATTTATTGTTCAGTTTTATGCTTTTTAAAGAAACATACGTAGAGCTTGTATTGCATGCATCAACGGCATAGATAGATGGATTACTTTATTGATCCCCATTTGAGAAATTCAGATGTCCAGCAGCAGAAACACATCCATCCAAACAAACAAAACAAATAGATATGATCATTCCAAACGTAGCTAACAATAACTAGCAAAACAAAACATGAGCACGTTTCAATAGTATTTTAATAGTTTATTGCGATCAATTTTTGAAGCATTAAACCAGCTGTCATCACAGGACAACCCTCTTTGAACAACATCTGCTTGCTTGAGATTGAGGAGTAGGTTCCTCGCGGATCCCACCTTCAGTACTTAGTATTTCAGATATTTTTGAAGTAACGATATTCTTACTTGAGTATAGTATGTTCCCCGCTCCAGCCGCCTGTGGAGCTGCAACAGATTGGTTCTCCGCTCCAGCGTTCACATCTGTTTGTGAGAGATCTGAGAGAACGCTTCACTGGTGCAAGACGTGTCCATCCACACGATACAGACGAGAAACACAGGCGCAGTACACAGACGCAGGTGACTGTACCTGAGGGGAGTCATCGCCGTTTCACGTGTACCAGAGCTGAAAAACCATGCACAAGACTTACCCAGAGGACAAATGTGGCGCTCAAATGCTTCTCATTCAGATCTCAGTGGACGTAAATGCTCTCATCCTAGTCTCATTTTAGTCCCATAAATGTCTCATCTGTTTCTTCTAAAATTCACTAGCAGCCATAGCGTAGATTCCAGGAAATTGGAGTTGAATGGGAGACACTGTTGAGAAACCGTTATGAGACGAACTCGAGATCTAATTGAGAAATAAAACCAAAAATGCATTCTACACTTTAAAACATGTATTAGAATATGAAAAAGCATAACAACATTACATTAACTTGTACTTAATACAGATACATGCCTTTTAGAAAAAATATGTCATGAATATCAACATCCAAGGTAAATGTTTACAGCGAAATAAAATGAAAGTGAAGAAAGAAATATAAATACATTAGAATATGTCCCTTAACATTGTTGCGTAGTTGTACCAATAGTGTTTTCCCTGAATGCAGCTGTGGTACAGACACATGGATTTAACCAAACAAACTGGCAACTTAAATAGAACTGCTTTTTTCTTAACATCATTCATTTCTGTTTTACATAAAGGAAATATTTACATATGTCCAGGACAGAAGAATTCTCCTTACCTGAATACTCGTGGTGCAGCTGAAATGGTTCAGATGCAGGACCTAGAACGTTTAATATATCTGAAGATGGACTGGTCAGTTAGAGGTTCATTTTAGCTTGACAATATATGGACTCCCTTGTGTGTTCATAACATAGTAGTATAGTATAAAAGCATAGTACAGTATATCTTGACATAATATAGAGCTGGACTGAAGACTCAGAATCAGAATACAGCAGGAGCACGTGAGCAAGAGAGGCATGGATGCACGTTTACTCGATTTCAGCTGCATGAATTTAGTCAATCTGTCGTACTGCCCTGCGATGGGGAAGAACGCAGGAAGGAAGTGGTGAGTACTTCTGCATCGGCGAACACGTTAGCAGCACTTGTTTACAGTCACAGTAGAATGTCAACTCGGGATAAAGACGTATATTCACAAGCACTGCTCTCTGCGTCCCCCATTGTCAGCCCTGGATTAATCCTGGTGTTGCTCTTGTGTTGGTTGTTTTCAAGTGTCTTCGTCTTCCTGTTATTGACCAGTGTGTGTCCCTGTGACCACTTTGCTGCTCTCTGATTGGTTGTCGCACGTGCATTAAGCGAGGATGTTCAGTAAATCTCATCTCCTGCTTTCGCTGCATGCATCTATCCGCCGTACCCACTGCCTCTGCCTCGCCGCAACAAGGCGTCTGCTGCGCTGAACAAAAGTGCATGCCACAACATACATGCAAATCCTGGCATGGGCGGACGTCACCATTGACTTTGCCTTGAAACTCGCCGCAACGCGTGATCCAATGGGAACACAACTTTAGAGCCCAGTGAGAACAGCAGCACACACAGACAAACAAACACACACACACACACACACACACCAGGGCAAAGTATCATAAGCTCAAGTTTACAACCTGTGGTCCATTCAGTTATTAAGCAATATTGAACTCATCATGAACCATATGACTGACGAAAATATGGTGACGAAAATGAGAAATTACCTCAAACTGGCATTTCTGATCACTCTCAGTGCACAAGCTAACCACACTGCATTTCCCAAAATGCACCCATGGCCCTGTAGTCCATACAGTACAGACGGGCTGCAGTGGTCATGTATTTCAAGCATAGAAGCCTTTTTTCTTGTGTTTTTCTAAGATTATTTTCCTATTTTATGACATTTGTGCTTGATCCGTCGGAAAATCTTTTTAAAAAGTAGAATCTATCAAAGATGAAAAGCTTAAAGAAGAAGTCACTAAGGTTTTAATAATGTTAGACAGTGGAACACATGGATCAGACTCTCCTGTGAACACGATCTCTCACAGCACACGCCGCTGCAGCAGACCATCGCTGATGCTGACTCTATCTCGACTTCTCACTTGTTTTTGGCTCCGTCTCAAAGCTCCAGCACAAACCCAGCCTGGCCTCAGTGTTCCTCACACACACACACATGGGCCTCTGTCACCGGCACATGATCCAGTTTCTCAGGACGCGGCTCGAAATATGGTTCAGAAAGAGCTTCACACGTCTGGCTTTCAAGCACTTTTCATCAGTTTCACGCCTAACTCAAACTCAGCGGCTTCCAGAGGCGTTCAACACGAGAAGCCAGCTCTTTTCATCTGCTATTGTTACACTTTAGAGTTATTTAGCAGTATAATACATATTTATACATACTCAGGAAAGGGCAAAAACATGGGGTCACGTTTAAAATAATGTAACAATATCCAGAAGAAAATAACATGATTGAGTACAGAAATTGTATTTGCTTTCAAGCCAGATCAGATTCAAACACTTTCCTTAAATAGAGATTAAAGTTGAGGTATGTGATCTTTTCTTCTTTTTTAATAATACATTGTTTTTATTCCAATAGAAAAAGTCTTGTGAAATGAAAATGTTGTGGACAAACCAGACCATACCAGCTTCATCTTATTAGAGCAGTGTTCCCAAAACTTTTTGAGCCCCGGCACACCTTTCTCATAGAAAACAATCACACGGAAACCTTTATTAACAATGCAAATCATTCTCATCAAAGTATGTATATTTAAAATCAAGTGCCAAATTGTTATTGTGTCTTTAGGCAAGACACTTCATCCCCATTGCCTAGAATCAGTCTGGTATGTGTGTGAATGGTTGGTCAGAGGGGCTGATGACAGTTGCCTGGCTTCTGTCAGTGTGCCCCAGGGCAGCTGTGGCTACAGAATAAGGACATGTCAAGTGTCTTTGAGTGTCCAAAAATGCATTATTATTATTATCAAGACTTTGACGGCAAGTTCAGTGCCGTTTCTGGCTTTTCCAACAACAAATATTGCCTCCACTTTTATTACAACCACAAGAATCTCCAGCCTCACACACATCTTTTACCTGGATGCAGTGGAGTGAATGTGAAGCTTCCCGGCCGTTTAATAAGGCATACATTTGAACCGCAGTCTGAGCCATCCAGTTATGATATACAGTATATTTATAAGATCCAGATGAAACCTGCGCTCCATACGCACTGTGCTCCAGGTATGTCCAATCTCTCTGTTTCTGTCTCTCTGCAGAAGACAGGACTGAACCGACTGATGGATTATTCTGGGGCTGAGTTCTGGGCATCCAAACGCTCGGTGAGACTGCAGCTGTGGACTCGTGTGGTTAAACTGAACACAGGACATGAGACCTGTACAGACACTGATCTGTCTGTGATTCAGCACTGTGGCACGAATAAAGGATCTCTACATCTTTGTACCCATTACCTGCCCCATCATTCCAAATGCTGTTATCTTAAACTTGACAAAACATCAAGTTCAGGGTTGTTTCTGCAAAAATTTAGCAAATATCCAAGTTGATTTTTTGAAGGCCTTTATTACAACTGAATATCATTATGGATGGGAAATTCTAACTGAGCAAAAACACACACACTTTTCTTACACACAAAGTGACTCGAGCTGGTGGGTTCAGTGTGAACACTACAACCATGCGGTATTTTAGACAGAAATAAATCCAAACTGTATTTTCTCCCATTGCTTAGATGTGGTTCATGTGAAGGTTATAAAACTTTGCATGAGTCACTCTACTTAAGTAAGTAATCTTTATTTATATACCGCCTTTCACAGACCAGAGTCACAAAGCGGTTTGCAATTGTTATTTTTGGGCACTTATCCTCTCACTCCACACAGAGATGGGAGCGGGGTCGCCGAACAGGAGGCGCACGCCAGATCTATTGTACATATTTTTAGTGGTAGGGCAAACCACGGAGTGCCCAGAGGAAACCTACGCAGACACGGGGAGAACATGCAAACTCTGGATTTGAACCCAGAACCTTCTTGCTGAGAGGCGAGAGTGCTATCCACTCAGCCACCGTGCCACACATTCTACTTACCTTCAGAATGTGCTTCTGAAGCCATCTCCTTGTAAAGAATAAGATCCACGCATTTATGGAGTAAATGAAAATTGTCTTTTGAGTATCTGAAAAACCCTTGCACTGGTCCATTATCACACGGTTCTGATGCACTTCACTCCAACATTACACGACTGGTCAGGAGTATTTATCAATTCGGACTCGTTCCTGTCTTCCCCGTGGTGTAAAGCTGTCAGTATTCTCTCTGATTACTCACCACTTAACAGTGAACTCGGGTCCACTTGGGACTGAAGTGTGTGACACTGTTATGGCAGATTGGGTCAAATGCAGGACAGGACATAGAGCAAAGCAAATCTTTTCTTACAAGGATCAAAAAAACTTCTCAAGATGGAGGCTTTAGTAATGCATAGTATTTGATCTTTCCTGATTATTATCACATCGTTCTAAGTTCTGTGATGTTTTTGTGTGAACTATTTACCTATTCTTTTAAAGTTAGCTTTTTCGTCCTTGTGATTTCACTTATTCTAGTTTACCCTCTTGAGAGTGAAGTGTAAATACAATACAGACTCAAAACCCGACTCCCTGGAAACTCCTGTTTTCATTTTGGAATCATGAGGCTTTAATTACTTCACTCAGCACCAGTATTTCCACAGCTCGTAATCTGCAACTCATTCTAGTCAATGTGGGTGAAGTGTCTTGTCTAAAGACACAACAACAATTTGGAACTTTACAGCCGCAGCTGCCCCACTGTGGCACCTGGTGTTCCCACAGGTCCCCCATCACAGTACTATCCAGGACCAGCCCTGCACAGCTTCAAAGGTCTGACAGGATCTGGCTTTTGCATACAGGTATGACCACAAACAACTGTCACATCTCAGGAATGGACACATATTTATTTATCAGCACAGTGCTTGTATCTCTATTTGTGGCATTAAAATGTGGTTTTAAAGAAAACCAAAAGATTTAACTAGAAGTAAAGTTCAGAACGACAGGAGACACTACAATCCCCCCATAATCTGACCTTTGTGAAAGCTGTAGGTTCTCTGCAG